GGCCTTCCGCATCCCCCCCGGAGAGGTGGGGGCACCCGGGGGGGGCTCAGCGGCAGGGCACTTGGAAGGGGCTTGGGGTATCCCTGGGGGCTGGGGGTGTGCGGAGGGGGCACCTGGAGGGGTTTGGGGCACCCCTGGGTGCTGGGGGCATGGGGGAGCACCCAGAGGGGGTTGGGGGCACCCCTGGGTGCTGGGGGTCAGAGGGACATTGGGACCTCAGGGGCCTGGAGGGGTTTTGGGGGGGGACAACACTGAGGACACCCCCAGGGAAGAGGGGGAGGGGACCCCTTGGACAGGGGGGCTGTGGGGGAGGGGCGTGGGCTGAGGGGACCCCAGGGGAGCATGGAGGGGTCCCGCGTGTCCCTTGGGAGGGGACGGGATGTCCCCATGGGGGGGTCTTGGTGTCCCCAGGGAGAGGGGTCCCCTGTGTCCTGTGTGTCCCCAAGGGGAGGGGTCCCTCGTGTCCCCAGGGGGGGTCCTGGTGTCCCCAGGGAGAAGGATCCCACGTGTCCCCAGGGAGAGGGGTCCTACCTGTCCCCCGGGGGATGTCCCCACGGGAGACCCGAGTGTCCCCAGGGAGAGGGTCCTATCTTTCCCCCAAAGTGAGGGTCCTGCGTGTCCCGTGGGGGGTCCAGCGTGTCCCCAGCTGTGCCCCCCCTCCCGGGTCCTGATGCCACCACCGTCCCCCTCCCCTGGCCAGGTGATGTTCTGCACCCTCAACACCCACAAGGTGGACATGGAGAAGCTGCTGGGCGGGCAGATCGGCCTGGAGGACTTCATCTTCGCCCACACCAAGGGCCAGCGCAAGGAGGTCGAGGTCTTCAAGTCAGAGGAGGCCTTGGGTCTCACCATCACCGACAACGGCGCCGGCTACGCCTTCATCAAGGTGACCCCCCCGGGGGGATGCTGTCACACGCCCGGGAAAGCTGGGGGTGCTGGGTGTGGGCCCGGAGCCATCCCGGGGCTGAGGGGGACACGGGGACATCCCGGGTGGTGCCCAAGTCAACCTGGGGATGGGGAAGGAAGACACAAAGGGATGTCCTGGACCATCATGGGGACCCCCTGGGTGGTCCCGGAGCTGCTCTGGGGGTGGTGGGGGGCCATGGGGACATCTCTGAAGGTTCCCAAGTCAATGCAGGGATGGGGAAAGAAGATACAAAGGGACATCGTGGACCATCATGGGGACCCCCTGGGTGGTCCCTGAGCTGCCGTGGGGCTGGAGGGCAGCTGGGGACATCCCGGGCCCCCCCTGGTGACCCCCGGGGGTGTCCCTGCAGCGGATCCGGGAGGGCAGCGTCATCGACCGGATCCCGGTGATCAGCGTCGGGGACATGATCGAGGCCATCGACGGGCGGAGCCTGGTGGGCGCCCGGCACTACGAGGTGGCCAAGATGCTGAAGGACCTGCCCCGCGGCCGCTCCTTCGCCCTCCAGCTCACGGAGCCCCGCAAGGCCTTCGGTGAGCCCCGGCCGGGAGCACTGGGAGCCCACTGGGAGGCTGGGGGGGTCCCCATGGGCTGCTCCCCACCAAGAAAGACACCCACCCCCTCCACGGGACTAGGGAGACCCAGGTGTCCAAGGCTTCGGTGGCCCCCTCCCTGGACTGGAGGGTGGTGGGCTGGGTTACTGGGAGCACTGGAAACCCAACCAGTAAGGTGTGGGGGACACCCCCTCGCTGCTGGGACCCCCAAAACCTGGGGAGGTGGAAGAGGCACCTTAGAGACCCCCCCAAAACTGGGGGGGGACACGACACACTCCATAGCCCTGAGGGGGACACCTGAGATCCAAAGGCGGGGGGGGCGCTGATGCGGAGCCAACAGCCGGGGGGACCCCGAAACCCAGGGGGGGAGTGATGGGGACCCCAAAACCCAGGGGGGGAGTGATGGGGACTCATAGTAATG